GAGAGAGAGAGAGAGAGAGAGAGAGAGAGAGAGAGAGAGAGAGAGAGTTAACCAGTGCTTACAGAAACCATTTATATCTGTCTCATAACTCCGCCACACTTACACCAAGGTTAAACAAGAGAGCAGTTTAGCGATAAACTGAAAAAGGGGGCTTTTGTTTTGGGACAGTCTGTGTGAGTCATTTATTTTTTTTCCACTTTTAATGAAATCCCACAAAACATCAACGGCCTGTCATTGTGTTTGTCTCCAGCCTGAATTGTGAGAAATTGCCTAGTATTCATGTCATAATTCAGTTATTGTTTCCTATTAAGCCCTTAGGGCGGTGACAAACTGATTCGGTACGGGCTGAATACACATTAATGTCTGCCAATTTTCCTCACCTTCATTACAGTTGAATCAAAGAGAGTGGGTGTGTAAGAGAGAGAGGGAAAAAAAGGGAGAATTTAGTTAATAATCAAATCTAGCATATGGATAATTCCTACAATTAAATGATAAAGGCGTACTCATAATTGTTCCTTTTGAATGACAGCTTAGCTGGCTTTGTTATGGTAGGATGTTGGCTTTTAATGGATGACGAGCTCACTGAAAAGGATCACAATTAGAAAAAGACGCTGACTGAGAAATCTGTAGGATCCAAGAAACAAAACAAAAGCAACGGGCATTTGAATCCTGCTGCACTATTGTGACGTGTTTGTTATTTTCATGACTATCACACAACTTTGTGAGTGGATAATGATGTGTCCATTTTCACAGTTCAAACTTGTACATAACTTCTTGATACTGCCTCTGCCAATACTATGAATTCATGAATACATGAATTAGTCCTCGGGTTAACAGGATGAATGACTGCTGCTTGGAGTCATTTCTAAAATCCTTAAAAGGAACAAACCTTTTACTCAGCGCACACAGTATTCAGTATAAGTCGGATTCAGGATTGAATCATTTTGCAGGATAATCTTAAATTATATCTAATCCAGTGTTTTAAATCAGTACTGGCCCAGATACATGTTTGGCTTTGTGTATACCACACAGATGCAACATAATATACAGTATGTGTGGGACAGGCCTGGCTTTTTACTGTTGCTCTTACTATCTCCTTGCTCTGTCTGTGCCAAATCCAATTTCACACCTGTGAACGTTATCCTAAACACATGCGCTACATATCCTGCCTGTTAGACCGGTTTTATGAAGCGTAGCCAGGAATGATGTCGAACATGGACAGCTAGTATAAGTACGAGCTATTTCGGACTTCTTTGGTGAGCGGATACTGTATGAACTTAATGTTGTTGACGGCTTTGTTGATTTTTTTTAGAATGCAGCCTTCAATGACTCTACTTGAGGTGTTGAGGTTTCCATATTGAGGGCAGATGTCTGATAATCACAGCTCAGGGCGTGCAGTCACAGCAGCCATTAAAGTGAACATTTTATAAGTTTGATTTCACTCAGCCACTTTACATGCAGCTGAATCTCACAAGGTCTTGTTTCCGTCTTATAAAATATTACTTAAACGTTAAACTACAACGGTGTCTTTTGCTCGTTGCATTAATAATGTGCTTGTGCTTAAAGTTGTTATCCCGTAGCATTGGTTTAAGCTTTCACTTTTGAAATAATATAAAGAAAAAAGGTGAATACTGTTTTATAAAAGTCCAAGTCTCAACACCCCCTGAGAAAACCAGAATTAAGTCACCGCTTTTATTACGAGAGCCCTTATTATCTCAAAGTCGTTCATCTTTTGAATAGTGTGGCGTCATGTCCCTGTGGTGACAAGAGAACAAGTGGTACGCTATTGAGCCAAACATCATAATGTAACGGTGACCTGTCACCGTGTGAAGATTGGGACTGATTGCCTCAGTCGTCATGAGGTTGCAGGTCATATTCAGGGCGCACGTTATCAGCCTATCAAGGACAAATAAAGTATAAACTGTTGGACTCTTTTGAGGGGAAGTGTTTTGTTTTTTCTGAACAGAAAATCTGCCGTATTGTCTCCACGTAAACAGCCTTGTGGAACGAGGCCCACCTCATGGTGAGGCTGAACAAGATTTGAATTTAATTTGATGCAGTAAAAGTAAATCATACCTTTGAAAGTTGGCAGAATAGATGAAGATATGTCGACCTCTTTTCTCTTTTAGAAGGAAAGCTTGATCGGAATTTTCAAAGATGTTGGTGTGAGCCAGTCTGTTCGGGCTGGTGGTTATCCATGAAGAAACAGATACACTTCACTGTACAAGATAAAAAAAATTAGCAAAGTTTATTTGACTAAATTATCTCTCAGATGATTGGTGTTCACTTTCTAACTCTAACTCTGTCTCTTTCCTTCCTTGGCCTGCAAGTCCTTGGAGCAGATTCTATCTCGGTCTTTGATCGATATGCCTTTGCCTTTCTTTTTGAAACACACCAGCAAGACAGGATTGATCGAGGCTAAATGCAGGATGTATGAGATCTTTTTTTTCAAGCCTGGCCCTGTATTTGATCATGTATTGACAGTTGCTATCATGCTGCATTAGCCCTGCTGCCTCCAGAGCTTCTAGCCACAGGGTAATCAGCCGGTGTTTGTGGCTGTGGCCCCCTAGCGTAAAAGAAAGAAAGAGACTCCACTTGCTCTGTGCTTACTCGGTGTTACCTCACTTAGGAGTGCATTAGTGACCCGTTTATTGTGTTTTGCAGTTGAAAAGGAGGTATACAGTGGCACCAGGCTTCTTGACTCCTCGCCTTCACTTGGGTTTCTTTGGAGAGTGAGCAAGAGAAAGCCTGGTGAAATAGTATGAGATCTGATTTATGTTTCGCTGGCATCTGTGTGTTGTGCTCAATTTACTGAGTAATGTCAAGATGATACCAATGTCACGATCAGGCTTTGCCCTGTGTGTTCTGTGTCTGTGTTTCTTTCTGTAGCTCCTCACTCACCTAATCAGTTCATTCAGTGCACCTGCCAGTCACACTCAGCTCATTACTCTCACCTGCTCACTCTGCCTCCTTCACTATTTAAACCCCTGCCGAGCGCGCGCACACACACCCAATGCCAGATCATTGTTTGTTTTCCTACCTACCCGCCCGTTTTGATCGTCCTGTTCCCGGGTTTTCCAGTCTGCCTGTTCTGCCTTTTCCTGCCGGATTTTCTCTTTTGTCTCGTCCCTGGATTCCCTGTTTGTTTTTGGTTCATTAAAACCTTTTTTCACTACACCTGACTGTCTGCGTTTGAGTCCTCATCATGCTCCGTGACAACCAAAGACAATAGCCCTACAGCCCGAAGCAACATGTACGTATAAGTATCAGCAGGGCACTGGTAATGCGCATGTTAACCGTTAAACATCTGACTGGAACAATAGACTGTATCTGTCAGGTACAAGGCAGAGGTCTGACAGTATTTTCCCAGCACCCCTTCCTCCCCGCGTGAACACCCACCACTTTACCAGCACACCTCCGAGTGGTTACCGGCACCTCTTAAAGCGAGAAATGACTTGCCCTTCTCAAACCTGCCACTGCCTCACAGGAGGTGACTTTGTTTATGCCGGATCTTCAGTTTGTTGTGATAGCAGGGGGAGGGAGGGAGGGAGGTGGAGGAGGGAGCTCTTGTTAGCCGGTATATCTGCCACTGCTCCCATGGAGGCCACCGAGAGAGGACAGCGGGTAGGGGTGGAGAGAGATTGTTGGGCTCGTGGTTTTCTGCTCCCTCTTGCCATGATTGAGGCACTTGGTATCTCCTCCTTACTGTGAGGTTGCAAGGTTAAAGTCACTCCAGCAAAGATTGCGATGAAGCATGCTAATTACCTTCTCCTTTTGTAGCAGTTGTTAAATGTTAATAGCATTCTCACTGGCCCACAAAAAATCCCAAATTATATTATAAATATTTTATTCTAATAGAGAAATGGTAAATTTAATATCTATGAGCATGTATCAAGATCAGTTCGTGAGCTGCCCCTCTGATGTCTGGTGTCAAAGGCTCTTTCTGTTCTTAGTT